CGCATTTTGCGTTTGCATAAATTATTCAAAAGAACATAATTACATAAGTAACTATATTAATAATTAGATTAATAGCATACTGTAATCTAAAATAATAATTTAAAAATAGCAAGAAATTAATTATGCATCAGTAGAGACGTTAGAAGACAATAAAAGTTAATAGAAAAATTAATTCGGATGATAAAGTAGGCGAAACTCAGATTTCGCACCGCGAAATTTCAGAAATTTACTCCTGATGTATCAAGCTAGCATGTTAGGCAAGGAGGTTGACGGAGGTATTCGAGCAGCGGCACGCCTACCCCCACTATTACCCATCGCCATATTGGAACGGCGGCGCGCCGAGCGCGCGACGAGGATAGCCAGCCTACGGCCAATCAGAGCGCTGGTAGGTATGCATAGAAGGGGCAGTGGGCTCCCGCGCTCTGACCAATAACAGCGTGATTACGAGGAGGCAATGTGGGGAGGCAACACCCGCGCGACGCGGCGCGGCGCGGCGCGCTCGGAATACCTACTGCCACCTCCTCGCTTATTATGCTTCGCTGATACATCAGGAGTAAATTTCCAAGATTTCGCAGTGCGAAATCCTAGTTTCGCCTACTTTATCATCCGAATTAATTCTTCTATTAATTTTTATTATTTTCTAACGTCTTCGCTGATGCATAATTAAATTCTTGCTATTTTTTAATTATAGTTTATATTAAACTGTATCTGTAATGAGAAGAATAAGAAGTAACTAGTTTTCTCTTTCCATTTCATATTGCATTTTTTCACGCTGATAGTCAGGTATACCTACTATGACCCATCGAATTATTGCACCTTACCTGTACATACATTTAGCATATGTAGGGTTGATTAAAAACCAGATACGAGTTATAATAGAAATATTTAATAACTACAATTGCCCAGTAAGTAAAATGCCTGCAATACGACAACAGATTGGCAGCAGATTTTTTCACATATTGCAAAAGATCCGGGCATCATCTTTGACCGCATTAAACCTCCGCGTAAACGAGTAAATTATCGTAAGTTACTACAAAAGTAACGCTTGCGTAAACGTAGTGAATGTCATGCATTTATCTTGTGTCTCGTATCGCGCGAGCTAAGTGAGAGCGACAAGGAGGGAGTGATATTCTCCGTTCTCCCTCTCGCTCGGCGTGCCGAGCGCTGCCGACACACCGATAGACCAAACGCAGCCGGCCCTGTATGCCTGTTGCGTAGTGGAGAGGGAAATTCGCTGGCTGGCATGACGCGTGCGCGTGACTGCCGTGTGACTAGCAGCAGTCTGCAACGACAATAAACACCGGTTGAGTTGACAGCTTTACGGACGACCATAATCGAAAGACGATTTCGTTGCGGTCCCGTGACTGAAACTTTCCGAATATCCCCGCGACGACGTCGAAGGATACTGGGGGATACCTCGATCAACGCCGCGATGGCGAGGCAGCTGCGAGACACGCCGGATCCTTCCCCGCGCGCGAGACAGTCGCGTCTCGAGAGCCCGTTGGTGATTCCCGCCAATTCTACACCAGGTGCGTTTCGCCCTTCAAACCTCGTCGCGCCGTGCCCTTTCATCTTGATTTTGCACGACGGTCTCCCGTTTCCTCCGTGTGTGACGTGTTTTTGTCGCATATTCAACTCGCGCGAATGTGATCCTCCGAAAATCCACCTAACCTCGAACATTGGGTTCCCGCGAACCACAACCATCGACTTTCTTGGAATATATCTTTTTCTCTTTTGTTTTTTTTTTTAATCTAGAACCAACTTATTAGACACGTTAACATGCATGCTCCTATCTCGCTTGTTTGACTTGTAATTTACATTTGTATATATTCAGCTCGACATGTGTTGTTTTGACAATTTGTGAAATATATTTCAGCAACGTATCGTAACATGGATGTGAGCACGCTGCAGAATTGGCTGAACAGGCTGCCCGATGACTGGAGTTCGCCCCAGAGTCCCGATGAGCTTGTCATTCAGAAGAGAGGTCGACGCAGGTCTATAGTATGGTCCCCTGATCTCGATACCTACAAGCGTCGCAGCCTGCTCAGGTATGTGTTCCATTCGCTAATTCATACGTGCGTTTATAAAAGAAACCGTATACCTTTAAGGAAGATTGACAATCTTTTTCTGGTCGGCAGTTTGAGTTCCAGAGACCGCACGCCAGTTAAAAGCCCATCAACGTCAAAAGCAGTGTCGAGGGATGCTGCTAGGAAGAGGCTCTCCCTTAACGATACTCGCCAATCCAATTTTACCACGCTGGAGAATAAGAAAACATCGTTGCCCTCTCGAGTGTCATTGAACACTACAAATGTGCCGAGAGAGCGGTCCAACGATAATTTGGTGAAGAGTTTGCGTGGTCTCAGTCACGAGCAACTCGTGAAATTGATTATGGAGTTGGTGTACGCGCAGGACAACGGTGCGTTGCGCGAGAACGAGAAGCTTCGTGATGTCCTTTCCAAAAAGATGCCAGTTGCAGATATTCAGCCGTTGTTGGAAAAATTAGTTGTCCTGCGACAAAATATTTATACCAGTCTCATGTTTGTCCCCAATTTGACGGACGATTCCACGTACGGTCGAACTTGCATACATCTGGATACGTTTCAGGTTTGTATAGTATTAAAATGTCTCAAATTCATAGACGTATTTGTATCAGATTTTTTTCTCATTTTTTCTCTTTAGTTATAAGAATAATTAATTGTTAGATTGTTGTTGTGCTTTATTTCTCTTCTTATTTCCAAGTTATTAATGATAGCTTTTTTATCCTTCTAATTTGTGATTTGTTTCTTTAGAAAACTTTGATCGATCAAGGAAGAATACTACAAGAATCTCAGCACTGGATTTCACTGATGCGCTACGCATTAGAAGCATGGAGAATCACCAGAGAATTACCAGAGTGGGAGAATCAGGGTTCTTATAATTCTACACGACAATGCTTTAAGAGTCTGTCGCAGTTTTGTACCGAAGCTTTAAGAAGAGGAAATTTTGAAGCGTCGGCTCTGGAAATTTACATTGAAAGGTACGTGAAATACAGAGCTCTCGACTTTTCTCTTGTTCTCTATTCTTTCTTACAACAAAATTGCAGACAAGACGAAGGAGCCTTATAACAGACTTACGTAGAATTTAGAAAATTGGTAATTTGTAAGCATTAACTATTAATTGATTATTTTCAGTCTCAAAACTATAGCTGCAGAATGCGAAGATTTTCAAATCTGTCTACAGATAGCAAAGGAAGGAAAGCACGAGACTTAAGCCTCCTTTCTACAAAATACCGTGTGCATGACAGTTTTATTTAAATATTTTCTACGTAGGTGCGTGATAATCAAACTTATTGACATGTATTCGTATGCAGGGTGATAACATAAGATATAATTAACCAGTGATAGAAATAACCAGTGAATTAACAATGAAGTTGTTGCGGATGATTTTTAAAAAATTTAAAACAAAAGTATTCTTTTTTGTTTATAAATAACACTAAATATCTTGAATTATCCTGTATATGCATATATTGACGTAACATATGTATGTTTTATATTTATATATTTATCCAGTCAACGACTGCGCTTACGTATACAGACGCGTGGATAATATATATGAAATTTTATTAATATATATTGTTTACTTTTTGACGCTGGCTGATACAAAACATGTCTTGATATATTCACTTTAAAACATTTCTACTTTAAACTACCGATAATTTATATTAACTCATGAATAAAAGAGATTTTTTAACTTTTCGATAATTGTTACAGTTTTAAAGTACAGAAAACAAGTACAAATTGCATTTTCTAGTGGGAAAGTATTTTATTGAGGGTATATAATAAAGAAGGAAGCGGGTAAAGATTGCTATTCAAGAATTAGTCGATGCTCAATAGAAATCTTTAAGGAAATAATTTTGTTAATTGATAAGATTTGTTGGAATGTAAATAAGAATAACTTGAAATTACATTTTGTCGGGATAACATTTGCATAAATGATATCATAATTTTGTTGTAGAATTGTTCGTATATGCATTTTAGCATGTATTTTAGCTTTTTTATATAAATTATTTCTTTCACATAAAACAAATTCACTGAAACAAAGATGTATAATCTGGTTGTATATACTATATAGAATCAAAGACATGTTTCTATGTTAAGTAACCGAGCACTATTTTACATTGTATTGTACAGCAGTCTTTCTCTATTTATTATAACTTAATATATTTAAGGTATCCGAAAGCATTGTATCGCCGAATATTTTTATATATTGCGAGAGTATTTTTTTACACGACGAATGTAGTTGTAATTAGCGTTACTATGTATTTATAGCGTAATTCTAACGCATTTATCATAATCCGCCTGATAGGGAATGGACTAACGCGAAAATTGTATTTTTTTTATTAAAAACAATTTATTCGTCATAATATATCGTATTTTCTTATATAATATATCCATTATTACTTTTGAAAGGCACATATGTCGCTTGACAAGCAGTCAGAAATCCTCTAAGCGGCTCGCATTCGCGTATATGATACACCTGTACATATCTATTACAAGGGCACAATAGCGATGGTGCTTAGAAAATTCCTGATAGCGGTCTATTCAATCGAGTGACGATCATTACGATCGACGTCTTGTACATGCCCATCTAAGTATTATATGACATTTCAGGCATTATCGAAACAGTACGGTTGGGCGTAATCGAGACGTGTCCTCGATATTTCTTTAGTACCCTATTTACGTTTTTCAATATGATTGCACATCGTCGTTTGAAACGCTATCTCGTATCGTTCATCGTGCATATCGGCAAGATTACGTTACGCGTCGTTTAGGAACAGCTTTAAAAAAAAAAAAGGTCGAAGATCGAAAGCGAAATCCGCGACAATATATAAATCAAAATATCCTGCGCAAATAAACATAATCTGACCTCATCTAAACTTGAACATTTAGGTGAAGCAAATTAAAGCGATAAAACTCGTAAAACCAATGCTCGTGCGTAAAATCACAGAATGATTCAAAATCAGTAAAAAAAAAATGGACATACAGCATTTGTGAAATTTCGAAACAATCGTTCTTAAGAAAAGTATCGCGCGCGATTACTTTTTTCCAACAACTTATCAAATTCGGACATTCGATATCTTAAAAACTAAGTCTTAAATTGAAATTTTGTACAGGTACAAAAACGAAAGTAAAATACACTTTACATTAAACAACGAGTAATATTCCATAATTTTTTTGCGTATCTAAAACTTAACTTACTACGGGGCAGGAAACCCTTGTTAACAAAAATTATCTCGAAATTTCACAAGGATTAAAGCTAAGCGCGCACTTTTGCCAATCCCAGAAAACAATCAAATAAAATTAATTTTTCAAAATAAATCACACAATATCCGAATAATGCACGTTAAAAACATGTCGCTATGAAAACAATTTGATGGTTTACGAGTGAATAAGAGACATGAGACATCTCTCAATTCTTAACTAAACTTTCAAACAGAAAGTTGAGTTGAGAATGTGTAATGCAGCTACAAATTGTGACGAATGCCATAAAATCCGATAAGACATCCGGCCAATTGTGCAATCCGTTATTAAAACGTTTGTCATATGTAAAACGTGAGAAGAGAAAGAGTCATTAAAGAAATGCATTGCCATGTTTTATGTATCGTCAATAATTACGGGTGACGTGTGTCTGCATAATCCGTTTCAGCTCGCGAATTTACGGCAAATCGTAGCCGTCCGCCGATTTAAAATCCACGATGACGCAATCTCATTTTATAAACTATAAGAAAAACTGACATACGCTGTAATTAAAAGATTACTACACTGTTAAAAAATTGGGTAGATTCCCGCTTCGTGATATCCGTATTCGCTCGGATGGCAATACTATTAAATAACGCTACTAATGTGCCTATGTATCGTGTTATAACAATTAACGAGATAAAGCTGCAAATCGAATACTGTGGTAATCATCGGATATTCTGCGAGCATTTTTAATCAACCGCTTTCGCTGGCTGCACTCTGGGATATAACTAAAACATAAAATGCAACATTGAGAATGCCTCGCATTGTTAAAATTAGTAAAAATATTTAAAGTGCAAAACACTATACAGCATTTTGTATTATAATAAACTTTCTAATATATTTTGTATATTTTATACCCGAAAATTATCTTTGTACTTATAAAAGTATTATGTTTTACTAATTAAATTTAAAGATGGAATTTATTTTTCCTTCATAAAATTTTGCACTTGAAACTTATTTTTTATATCTAAAATATATTTTTGCATTTAGCAATTTATTTTTTAATATTCATGTAAAGTACTTTTCAAAAATTTTTTATATAAATTTATTACAAAATACATTTTTACAATATTTCGCTAAACTCGGAAAAATATTGACTTTATTTAATCAATTATGCTTACCCCCAATAAATTTCGAGGTACATAGCCTTCTTTATGTCCGAGTTTGCTCCACCACCATTCTCGTTCATTATCATCCCCCTTCCGAAGTACGACTACGGAGTCGCCGTTCTTCAGCGAGAGTTCGTCAGCGTGTTGCGCCTCATAATCGAAAACCGCGTATACTTGACCGTTATTCATTATCCCCAATTTTTCTTGGACACCTGTGTGTCAGAAAGAACAGATTTTTTTCACAAATGCATCCTTTGTTATTATGACCAAGCTTAAGTTTCGCTTCGATGATACTGACTGTACAAGTACTCCGAACATCCGTCGAATCCTTCCTCGTCCTCTTCGCACTTTTCCGCGGCGGTCTCATGATCCGAAAGGGTGGTCGCGAAAATGCAGGCACCGTGTTCGACCAAGAATCTCACCATGGACAGATTGTTGCAACTGGCGGCGCAGTGTAACGGCGTCCTTCATAACAGATATTAAATTTAGATGCTTATATAGTAGGTTTGAGTTATTTCGAGAATAAACTAATAATTGGTTTAGAATGATACATGTCGCAATACAAGGATTTTAAATTTCCAAATTCTAATCTCTTTTCTAATTTTAATAATGAATTCTTTCCGTATCAAGCTTTAAATAAAAAATTCGATCAAGTAAAGTTCAAAATCAAGTGAAGAATACGATTCTTTTATCAATCTTCGTTCAGCAAATTCTCTTTTATACAGAAAACAATCTATGCGTTAATTTACCATCCGTCGCTGTCCTGGGCATTGACATCGCAGCCGAATTCTACGAGAAATTTGACGATCTCAAGGTGACCGGCGCATATAGCATTGTGTAAGGCGGTAATGCCTTCGTCGTTGGCGGAGCTCGGATTGGCGACCTCTTTCGCGGTTTTCTTTACGAGCTCGAGTTCTCCCTCGAGACTAGCGTCGAGTAGCAGCGCCAGTGGGTCAAACGACACCCGCCTGGACAGATTGACCTTGCCACCTCCGCCCCCCGTACTCGACGACTTGAGATTTCCCTTCTTCCTCCTCATTACCTCTGATATCTTGCCTCCGTCTACCTCCGTTTCGCCCCCGATTCCCCCGGTCAATTCCGAGTCAGTCTTCATCTTCGTCGGCTTGTCTTCTATATTGATGACATTCAGAGCGTCAATGATGTCCGCTTCCTCCAGCCTCTCGCCGTCGCCGATATCGTCGCTGATAATGTTTTTGCAATTGTCCGTAGTGTCGATGACTTGCTGTTGATGTTGCTGCTGTTGTTGTTCAGTCTGCATGAGATCCGCCGGGATTTCTGTCTCCGGAAACAGGAAGGCCGGGGGCATCTCAATTCGCCGATTTATCGACACGTGAACATTGGATTTGGCGTATCTCAGCTTCGGTTGCTCCGATATCGGTACTTTCTTCAGCGTCAACGGCCGAGCCTTGATAATCTGATGATTGGCCAGCTGGGTCTCCGTGGGAGATTCAGGCGGTTCCGATGTAGGAATCGGCGGAATATCCTCGTCCTTATCCGACCTACGAGATTTACAAAATCGAATTTAGAAATTAGAAAATTAATAATTACATTGTATCACTGTGTTATCATTACATGGGCGAACTGAGAGCGATAATCATAACTAATTAAATACTTATTTCTAGTTTAGATTAAATATATAATTGTTAAAGAATTAATTTAAATATTGTGTATTTAGTATTGTCATAAAAAATCCGACAAAAGAAGATAAAATACAAAATTGTACGCGATAATTGTCGAGAAAAATCGCCCTGGCTGAAAACTTACAATTCTCTACCCACTGCGACGAAAGGGAAACCGAATATAATTTGCAACGCCGAAATCCTATCCAATATTTTATGAATCTTAAATAATCGTGTCGAATCGTCGCTCGGCTGCATACAAATCACAAAGGGCACAAATAAAAACTGCAATTAAATTACACGATTGTGTCTGATCCGGCTGTCGCTCGTCGCGTCAACATCAACCGTTCAACGGACAGGTGTTACTAACAGCCGTGTAATTGAACATCGATTCGCGACTAATCGTGCACGAAATCGTCGCCTGGCAAACGTAAGCACGTTAATCGTGTGTATCACTGGCGTGTACTGATCGGAGAACTCGCGTACACTAAGAGGAGCGCGGGCTCTCACGTCGTCTCCGCGGCACACGGAGCCGCGGTTCTATTTCGGTGTCTATTATTCGAGACAGGCTTCGATTCACTGGCCAAATCGATCGCGAACTAATTAACATTTATAATTAACCCGGTAATCGTTTTGTCATTCCGTAGTCCGAGTCCGCGCGAATTGCCCGATGAATTGTTTGATGATTTCGTAACTCCACGAAGGGTGAAAGAGAGTGTGAAATGCTTAAACGGATCTAAATTACAATTACAAACAGCGAACCTTTGCATCACATTAAATGATCATACAGATTTTAAAATATTGAAAATATTCGAATAAAATATTTGGAAATAAATCACATTGTATAAGCATTTTTTAATGATATATCATATATTTTAATATAAATATATTAAAATTCTTTTTAATATATTTAAAATTGCTTAATTTGTGTATAAGGTTTTTAGATCAAATGATTGATTTAAATTCGGAAAATTAAAAAAAAAATTTTTTACCCAAAAACTCCTTTACAGTGAAAACATTTCACTGACAACATCAATGACTAATAAAGAAAAAGTTATTGCAAACAAACACGCAAGATCATAATTCTTAAAGTTTACTATATGATTTCATATCTAATTCTTTCTACACATCAAGACTTTTATTTAAAAATCGTATACGAACCTTGAATTAAGATTTGCATTAGTCATCTTGCACTCGTTGATCCCTTCGGACGACGGCACGTCAATTTTCTCATGATGAGTCAATCTTGGTGGCGGATTCGGTTTGCTCGGTTTCGGCGGCAATGCGGGTTTTGTCTTGTCTTCTATTCGCGGCTCATTGAAATTCTTTCTCTCGCTGTCGCTGCTCTTCGACACCGGCCTGTCGAATTCGAACGGCCTGTCCGGTGTTTTCGCGGGGGTTTCGAACTTGGCGGCCACATGATCGCCCGCATGTTTCGTCGCGGGATTTGGTTCATATTTGGCCGACACCATCTCGAATTTGCTCTGGCCGCTGCTCTCGTACTTGTTCGACTCAGACTTATACTCCGGTTTATACTGACTGGCAGCACTCGAAGGATCGTGCTTGAATGTTGGATTGTGATCGTACTTGTTCGACAATCTTCCTTCGTGCTGTTGCTCGTGTTTGGTATACTGTTGCGAATTCTGACAACCAGGCTCGTATTTAACATTGTGCAGGTGCTGATCATGTTTCGCCTGACCTCCGATTGGATCGTGCTTGCTGCTTTGTTGTTGAATTTCGTACTTGCCCGTATTTTGATCATACCTAATCTGTTGCTGTTCATGTTTATTGCTGGGCAGTAATGTATGTTCAAACTTATCCTGACTCTTACTTGGTTCGAATTTGGCTTTCTGATTGTTCAATATTTGATCCTGGCTTTGCGCGAGATCATTAGAACTCAACACCTGCGACGATTGGTTATACTTCTGAGATGAATTGCCGAAGGTCGTCGCGGTGGTGGCAGTGCCATGAAGACCGACGAGATTCGACGAACTCTGAATCTGATAGACGGCCGCCGGAGAAGATGCATGAACGCTCGTCATCTGATTTGGATATTGCTGCTGTTGTTGCTGCTGCTGTTGGACGGGGTAACCATGCCTGTAATTCGCTTCCTGATTCCCAACGTTGGATTGCAACTGCGTACTTGCCGCCGCTAATTGTTGATTATTGCCGATGTAGTTTTGCGCCGCGTTGTTATGTCCGCGACCCAGCAGGCTCAATGTCTGCGGCATAACCGGATGGATCTTGGTTGAGGAGGTCTGATAGATCTGCGACTTGACTGAAAAACTTGGCGCCACGCTCGACACCGGTTTCTGATGACCACCTACGGTCTGCTGCAGATTTCGATGCTGATTCTGCGTCGTTTGCACGATCGACGGAACGGTAACACCGATGAGATTCGACGTTGTCGATGTGCCGCCAATGCCGGTCACGTTGTGTTGCTTCTGTTGGAGATTGCCATTCTGATGCTGTTGTTGCTGCTGCTGCGTCTGCGATTGCTGTTGGTGCTGATGGCTTTGGTGAAGACGAAGATTGTCCGGGCTGAAGCTGTGCGCAGTGTTACAGATGAGATTGTTGCTGTTGTTATTGTTGTTGTTATTGTTATTGTAGTTGCAACTCGATTGAATCGTGGTAGGTTGAGTGCCGAGATTTTGATTGTGCTGCTGTTGCTGTTGATTGCTTCCTAGTAATTGAGATTGCCCTAAATATTTCATACGCCAATTAAATTCATGTTTAAAATCACGTTTATTTTATTGATAAAATAACAATTTTATGGTATTTGTCATTAATTTGTAAACATTTACTGCAAAATTATCTTTTCAATAAAAAAGGCCTAGTATCTCAAATAATTTTAAAAGTTATAAATAATTATATGAATACGCGTAATGTTATAAATTTATAATTGCGAATAAGAGCACTCACCCTGAATGTGCGATTGCGACTGGCTGTGAACGATTTGGTGCCCGTATTGCTGAAAGGTCGGCCGCTGTCCCAACTGAGAGGCGCTCGCCGAGTGTTGTATTTTATTTTTGTTCACGTCGTCTTCTATAGCCTTGAAGTTCATCGTGAACTTGGTGTTGTATGGCAGTGTCTGGTACTTGGGGTCGTTTTTGTTCAGATTGAAATCGTTGTCGTTCGGTATGTGCGAATACGGCTCGATCGCGGCGATGTTGCCGGCCGGTCTCAGCTTACCGCCGTTGTTGAAACCGTCGAGCTTCGTGTCCGGGAATCCTGTGTTGTTAACGCCGCCGCCGCCGTTAGGACCCACCTGATGCGTCAATCGTTGATTCAACGCTCTCTTGCGCTGGAGACGACTCTGGAGTTGAGCTATTCGCGCGTCTATCGACGCCATCTCAGCCTGCCGTTGCGCCAAGGCCTGCCGTTGTTGGGACACCACTTGGTTTTGCTGTTCGTTCATTTTATTGCGATACTGCGTACAAATTGGAGAAATACAGATTCGTATTTTTCTTCGTTGTGATTTTTTCTTATATCTTATAGTACACACTCGAAATGTGTGCATTGAAAATGCACGCATTTTGCGGTGATTGATTCATCTTCAATCATCAATGTGTACACTAAAAAAAAATTTTCTGCATTTTAGTAAATACTAGTTTGCATATAACTGTGACTCCATTTACTAAAATGAATTAAGAAAATTTTCCTTTTTATTAGTGTATTCACTGAGAAAAAATATACTAATTAATAAAAAGGAAATTTTTTTCCTCTTAGTAAATAGAGCTACAATTATATGCAAACTAATATTTACTAAAATGCAGAACATTTTTTTCTCGTTATACTTACAGATACATGCCAGTATCAAGTTACTATATTATAATTAAAAATTACAAAAAACAATGTGCTTCTCCGCATTCAAAAAATGAAATAATTATCTCTGTATGCTCTCTCTCTTTCTTAGTTTATTACACTATTTTTTGTAAAAAAAATTGTTCCTATCACATAAAAAAAAGGTAAAATATTATACATGAAAATTTAATGCGTCAATAAATTAAATATTTTGTGTGAAGTCTGAATCTTCAATAAATATAAACCACAAAGATAATATAACATCTTTATAGAAATCGACAGTTCCTTAACAAAACTTTCCAAATATATTATTATCATTCCAAATATTAACGTTCTGTACTTATATCATCAACGAAATTTCCGAGAAGTTAGAGTAAACTCTCTTCAAATTAAATAATTAAACGACAAATAACATTCTATTATTTATGCTCTGAAATTTAAGTGGCAAAAAGGATATTTCAAAATAAATTAGGAAAATTATCAGTACATATCTCATCATCTGACAAAAATCAAGAAAAAAAATCGGATTTAAATATAATTCAGAATATCGCCGCTTTCCACATTCTAGAAAGTCGTCCTGTAAATCTATTTTAACTGGCCGGTATTTATAGTCCATTAACGTAGGTTGAAAATGGGACAGACACGGTGATATTCCCATGCGAGCGCTTTCGAAACAAGGCCGATTCTCTCGAGACCGTAATCGATGGCGCGAGCTTACCATAAGCTCCCTCCTGAGTTTCTCCAGTTCAGCGCTGGCCGGGGTGACCAAATGTCCATTGCCGGTAGCACCTGTGAGGCCGCCCCCGATGCTGCCGGCGCTTCCACCACCGGCGGGGGCATTCTGACGACCTCGGAGTTCCTCCAGCTGCCGCGTCAGCTCCTCGACCTTCGCCACGGCCAACGAGAGTTCCTTCTCCTTCTCGTTGAACAGGGCCCTAATGCAGTCCAGATCGGAGGCTACGGACGAGAGAACGGAATAATGAGAAGAGGAATAACGAGAATAATTAAACAAGAACAATGATAATAACAAGGATAATAAGAATAAGAAATAACAAGTAATAAGAAAGCGAGAAAGAATTTTGTGAAAGCTGTAATGACGAAAGATCCTTATCAATTTTTATGTGTGAGATCTGAGAATAATATAGTGAATTATTCATTACGTTTGGATTGTCAGTTTGACGTGTAAATACTCTCGTCTCTCTTTTCTATATTTTATTTATTTCATAATCGATCTTCATTAAATATATTTATTGACATGTAAAATTTTTAAAATCTAGGTGATATTGCCGCGAGCTACGTCGTTATGAGATACGTCGGATATTGATGCAGGAAAATGAGCGAGAATACCCTTTTACATGGCCTTTGACATTCGATATAATAAATTGGCGCCTCCGGGGTACACACCCTGCGCCCAACACACCAACCGGACGTTACGAAAGCATGCGCCAGGGGATGACGTCGTATTAACGGGCGCATTAATCATCGCCCGGGTGACTTATCCGTGAGCGATACACTTTCGTGGATTCCATCGGCTGGTATCTCATCTTAAGCGCCGAGGAGCGCAACGGCGCGGGCGTCTCGTACTTCGTATCAGATTAGAAAGTTATTATACGTGCGCGATGGACCACTAAACCAACCACATATTGCTACACGGAACTCCGTATTGGCCGTACAGAGCGATCTGCTGTGACCTGGAATTCCATTATCGAATTCTGGATTGGTACCCGGTCTCGACTCCCTAGTCCCTGAGTACTATCTATCTGCCCAGGAACGACATCCTTTATGGTCTTTCATTACTTCTTGGTAATCCCCGTTGTCGAAATTGTCAATGCGATTCTAATTTGTGCGCGAAACCGATTAATGGATATTTCCAATGCATCCGGCTCAGTAAATCATGTCTTGCAATATGATGGGAATATTAATTCAAATATATCATATATATCGTAATTAATTCTTTGAAAATATAATTATCCAAAAAATTATTCATTGCTATACTTCATAAATAATTGATAGAGTGAGATATTTGATAAAACAACTAATTAATAAGAAGGAATATTTAAAAGAAAAAATTCAACTCTTCTTAAATTCTTCTCTTTAAATTCGTTTACTTCTTTAGAATTATTTTGCTATTCAGAAGCAGTGAGTAGCACAATCCTTTCCTTTCACATTGTTTCTGCTAACTGTTCCGCAAAATGGAGAATCAATGAAATTACAAAGTTTACTTTTACTAATTCTCTGACGTTGCTGAGATTTCAAATTGCAAAGAACAGACCGGCTTTTGCATACCGAATAGATGCTTTGGCTTTCCTTTTGTGTTATTTGTCGACTACATAGTCCGTTAAGCCATCGGTATGCCGATCGGCATTTTTGCCAATTGGCATAGATCGATCGACACGTGTTCACTTATATGTCAATGAGTTTGGCCGATCGAATGGATGATTAAAGCAATGAAAAGAGAGAGAGAGAGAAAGAGAGAGATGTGGTGTTATAAGAAAAAAAACTCTTAGTACGTTTAGTAATAAGCTTGTTAAATCTCATACGATACAAGAGTAGTTTCTCAATTCGTATTAAATTTGACTTGCAGCAATATTATTATACAGATGTAGCAAGAGTTTACATTATTTATGTTAAAAAGAGAAAATGCAGAGAAATCGCATCGATTGCATAGAGATGCGATTGCGCAAAAAGTTCCAGTGTGGGCGACTCTGGTGCAGGGCGATTTTGTGAATATTTCGCGCGAGTGTATAAAAGAATCGAAAGTTGATTTCTTCCGCGTAATTTAACCTTTATCGTAGTTGAATTTAATTTGAAATCAATTTCGCCAACATCAATTAACTTCAACAGTAGTTCAATTGTCTCTTTATCTCCTTTTGCAGGATCCGAAAAGAGCTATATAGTAAAACAATTGCACTATATAGTCAAGCTTAATGGATATTGGCGATATTGACGCTAAATTAAACGACGAAACGCGCCTTAAAAGTCTCATCAATTAGGGTTGATTGAGGTTTATTGTCTTCTCTACTTCTATTTTTAGAAGAAGACGAAAGAATCGGTTAATCACGTCTTTGATCTGCTCAAATGTATTCGAACGTTATACTTTTGTAACACAAAAGGCAATGATATAAATACAAATCTCCACGAAAAGTAATTAAATAGTTTAGTTTGCCTTTTTATCACTGGAAGCAAAATGAGCTAAACAATAAAAGAGAATCAGACATTTAATTGTTACAGTTTTCTGCCCAACGAAAACAAAACGTTCAACTTTTCTAACGCCCTAAAGAAGAAGCGGTTAAACCAATGTTAGCTTTATAACACGCATTCCGGGAACGAGGAAGAAGCCGGAGAAACGCGATAGAGCTCTCGCATGAAAGCCAATCGTTCCTAGTCTCGCCAACGAAATCAAATGCCTCTCATTATGCATGCCGCCCGCCCCTTCGCGCCACTTGGGATACATACACATAAAGCCCGCGAGGCGAATATATTCGTAAAAGTATCGAAGAAACGCAAAATTCGAACGCTCAACTTGCCGAGAGACGTTCCACGAACTCGTTTTCTCGCGAACGTCACGTTCCGTCGTCAGTCTATTCAAAGGCAATTTCCCAGCCACCAAACGCTCCTTGAGATTCTTTCTTATTCCGGAAACGAGCCTCGCCCACGTTCGACACTCGTCCCAATCCCTTTCCTTACCACAGAATGTCTCGCAATCTTAATTTTAATAACAGATCCTGTGACTAATCAAATTCTTCTCATTGTCAGTCAAAAGTCTCGAGGAAGGTCAGCCAAAAGTTATCGCATTTTTTTTTACACACGCGTGATACATCCTTCATTTTCAAATGTCACTGCATTTAGTTTCCTGTTCTCATTTCAGTTTCCTATTCTCATTAAAGTTTCATTAGGTACATAAATGTAATTAAATGAACACCGCATACTCTGTCTTCATTCTTTATCTCTTGTTTGTGATATAAATGTTTTTTTTTTTCGCAAATAAATATTTTATATTTTATAACAGAAATAAAAGAAGCGATTTTTAAATACTCGACATATTGACTGTCGAAAAAATATTTGTAATTTTGTGGCTCCAAAAAGATATAGACACTTCTGTTATTTTTTTTAAATATAGCCAATTAAAATCCATCAAACAAACGTGCTTATTTCTTGCAAACGGTGCACGTACGAATACACAGGAATACGAATAGGTACGAATACCGAAGCGTACGCAATATATATCGGCGACACGAGCATTGCGACTGATAATAAAGCAATTATAAAGAATAAAGAGCGATAAAAGAAGCGAAGCGAGTAACTGCCTGACGTTTAAAACGTTTCAACGTCTTGTTATAATAATGAAATAGTAGTGCATGCGAAACTCTGTGAAAAATCAATTTTCAAGCTCGATGTAATTTACAACTCGTTTCACAATGCGTGTTTAAAGGAACCTTTTTCTTTGTATAAGCTATGCTCCATACAATCGCCTGTCAAAGTATCGACCTTTCGCGGCTGAAGAGCAGTCTATATGCGCGTTTTCCATCGATCGACGGTCCTGCGCGTGCAATCGAAGCGCGTCCGCGTTTTGCACGCGCGAACATGTGTATATATATATATACATATATAGGATAAAGCGACGCAACGCGCTAAACAATAGATTCATCCACGTCGCCACGTTGCGTCGCTTAAATGCACGGCAAATGACATGTCGCGTTGTGTCGTCGCTTTGGAATTTCGCCCGACATTCACTCCGCGATAATATTTAATTTCTTCACGTCAACCCTCCCGCACACACGGGCGAATTATATGAAAATGTTATTTCGCGCGTCAAGAGAGGAGAGTACCCCTCGAGAACCCCCGTGGTACACACGAGACATCAGATCGTCTCGATATAGAAAAAAGCGCGTAAAATCGAGATTTTAATTCACGCCGTTAAATCTTCCATTCAATTTTACAATTTTACGGCCGAGTTGGCTTCGGGAGATCGTCGTTAAAAAAAAATTTAATAACTTCGTTTCAGGCGGGAAGATTAGATGGAAAAAGGTCGCTTCATTTTTCGCGTCTTTAAGATTCTATATAATCAATTTCAGAATGACGGCGGAGTTTATGGTACTCGCGAGGTGTGTGGTGCGAAAACTGAATCGAATTTACCGACATCGGTGCGCACACATAATGCAACGTCGAACGATGAGAAAATGCGTTATGAAAATGCATATGGACGGGCACGCCGCGCCGTATACGAAACTGTTCCAGAGCAACCGGTATTCCAATAGCTGTCAGGCAGTTTAACCTACGATTTAAAACGTCCAATATATGAGCTTTTCTTTATTCAAAGTGCCAAGGTTATATTCAGATATTCTTTATTATTTTCACAACTGCTCGACTCGGCGTTATAAATTTTTCAGTCTTAATTCCTCTGCCGTTGGGAATTTCAATTCGCAAAAAAAAAAAAAGAAAAAAAAACTGTAACTGTTAAATGTCCGGTTTCTCTATCCACTTTACGTATCTCTATTTTTAACAAGCAAAATGCACATACATCAAGACATACATTTCCGCGGAGTATATAGCCGCACTTATTCGCTTTTCATTTACTACTTTTTGTTATGTTTTTATACTTTACTAAAAATATAATACCCTAGTGTATACCCCGTTGAATCGGGAAAGCGATTAACGTAAGAATTCTCGTGTTGTATACGGTTTACACCGAACAGATAGTGATGTCATAATAGCATTTTTTCCTATAATAAAGGGACAGTGATGCAATGCTCCTTTCATCGATATATTTAATAAAACAAAACGAATCGACACTGCTACGTGATTACTTGCGTGTGTACCGAGTATTGTTTGATATATAAAAAAAAAATCCGGCACTTTCCATAGCGCGTCCGGGATTGGGTCATGAAAATTATGACAAGCCTACATACGCGCGTGTTCCGCTGGGTGTGGTCACACGTGTTGCGTGTCAATATCATGCAACGTACGTGCGCATACAAAGGGTAAATGGGAGCGTCGCGTTTGTTTCGAACGGTGCGCGAATTCCGCGGCGGCGAGGAGAGAGAGAAAAAAAATAGCTGTTCGGACGAAGTCGGATCTAGCGTTTTGCACGAACGAAACTCACTCGAACGGATACCGAGTCGGATCGAACAAATCGCAGGCGCAATTAAATGCAACAAGATTACCCGATTCGACTGTTCGCGATCGCGATTGTTATTATTGCGATATATAATCGATCGCCGCGCGTCAACGTGTAATTTGTTCAGCGAAATTGATATTTGTTCAAGCAAGGGCAATTGGCGAGAAATCTGCCCGTTCAAGCAGCGCTCCGCTTTTTTTCTCCTCCGTTGGGAAATCGAATCGGTTAATTTTTTTTCTATATATGTTGATATTTACTTTCTTGTAGATAAATAGTTGTGTATAGCGCGCTTTCTCGATCCATTCAATTTCGGATGACAAATAGAACAATGGGAGGCCGCATCGATTTTACGCGATTCTATAGGCGAATCACGTTAAGAGAATTAAGAAGTACCTTCCGCTTTCCCGTGCAATTTCCTTTCGACGTTTCGAATATTTCGGCGCTTGTCCGAGAATGATTTACCGGCCGGTGCGACCGCGGATGAGTTCCGCGCGATTGCATTCTATAAAAGCGTAGCGCGGAAACGAAACGCGCGGTCGGCCCCCGGTCGAATCTTTTCAATTTATTTTCCAGGGATGATTCTCGGCCGTGAATAGCGGGCATACGGACTGTTTTCGAACCATCGGTTTGTATTTGGATTTCATTTATAAACCGGCCAAGTACCCCTGATGGCTGGAAATATGCTCGATGTCGCCGGCCGTGCCGCACCGAAGATTAATCGCGCTTCTCAATGTGAAGACAGGATAAATCTCCCTTATCACGTTTACCGAAACGAGATGAATTCCCGTCGGCGAGGGATATCGCCGATCTACGAAAATGGATTGGTCGGGACTCAGAGACGACGGAAGTTAGCGTTTTTATCTTCGCGCGTCCGTTAACTGCAATTTAACATTTCGTTGAAGTATTTCGCATTTTTTAGGAGAAATGATTTTCGTTTTACACGTTTTACGAACCGTGATCTCGCAGCGAATTAAGGAATGTCCAATCCAAATAATTTAACTTTTATTCAAAATTTTTCTCCACATGAGAGAATATATACCGTATATACCGAAATTTTATAATGTAATCTCTCAAAATAAAAAATAATTAATTTTAATTTATTTCAATTTATATATTCTTTAGCATTATACGACAATTTCCACGGAAATCCGTCAAAAACACACATTGTAATTAAAAGACGTTCTAATATTCCAAATTTTCTTGCACATCTTTTAGATATTTTTTCAGGTTTTCTTGTATATCGAAATTAATATTTTGTTACATGTAAATATTATGAATTTCGTATGAATTTTGGATAAAGTTCGCAACAACTCGCGGGCGATGAAAAATCCCCGAATGCGGTTAAACCTCCGTGCATCGCATAGTAAATTAGTTCGCTGCGTACGAGTCTGCCGGGAAATCCGGCAGAGGTGTACGTTAGCGAGAAACTTCCTGCCGGAAGATTTCTTGCCAAATCATTTGAAGTTGTAACAAATTGCAACAAGTTTAGCTATTGAAACTTTCAAGACCCTGCGAAAGACAATATAAGACGGTCGAACGTCGTGATTAGAAATTGAAGGGAACGAAGGGCGAAGATATTGTCGCGACATAAGAGTGCAATAAATCTTACGATTATTACAAGAAGTTTTACGGATTTTTGCGAGAAATTCAAAATATGCATCATTGATCCAGGAAAAGCATGACTAACAAGTCAAAAATAATATATAGAAAAATAATATACTCTCATAATTTTTACACTTTCAAAGTTTTTGGTAAAATTAAAAAAAACCTTTTTTTCGCGATTCTCTTTCTAATTGCAAATTAAATTGAATCCTTTTAAATTAAAAATTCAATTAAAAATGCTGATTGTTGGTTATTGTTACGTGTTTTTAAACGAAAACGATGTGTGATAAAATACAGAATAAAATTGCATTTCTAAGTTAATATAACGAACGAACTAAATATAAATGGCAAAAATACAAAAGCTAAAATTATTATTATTATTCATACGGTTAAATATTGCAAAGAGTACGTGCAAAACATCAAATTACATTGTCACATTCGTCAAATTAAATAAAAAAATACCTATCTCTGGATCCTTCAGTCACAGAAATTACATCAATTGTATAGCTATTTAAATGTCAAACGTCGGAATATTTGAGGGCAGTTATTTTTATAGAGAACTGCTTTTGACGGAGCATTTTCTCCATTGTCCGCCGAGCACACCCACGGCGCGGCGCAAGCGTTTATTAAAGGACGAAACGCGACAGAGATCTCGGGATCATTACAATTTTTTTTCAGTCGCAGGTACAACCGTCGACGCACAACCGACGTTTCTCTGCCATGTCGATTCGTTAGAGAATATCCGTAACGAAGCGTGCGCAGTGTGTTTCGCCCCTTCGTTCGGAGTTATTATCGCGGCAGCGTGTCGCATTGCAAACCGCAGCTATCGTTTTCCATTACGCCGTATAGACGTAACGATCTGAACAATGCTCAATTAACAAGGCATGCACACGCGAGCCGTGCCACGCGCGTAGCTTTTACGAATCGAATCAGAGTGTAGCGCGTGATGACACCGATACATCAATCCACTCTACAAAGGCGGACAGGTGCGCGTACAAATTCGAAAGGTTTGAAAGATGAACGTTTGAAAAATTTCGATTTGAAAAACGCATGTGTATAGAGAGGGACGAATTTTTTATTCCATTAAAATTTGTATCTGTCGCGTTAATCCGCGCGCGTCCACTTCTCCCGTAATATCGGAAAAAATTGATGACTATCTAGAAACATGGTTTTCCATTTTATCTTTTTGTGTACAAAGAGGAACAAGATTTAATTTCCAATCAGTGAGCTCTTCGTCTTTTCCCTCATAATTTTCATCGTTAACTGCTAATTAAATAAATGTCTTAGTACAAATTATCGTTGAAAAGCGACGGACAAAATTATCGTACACGCTACCTTTCGAATAAACGCGATAACTATCGATCTCATGGTTTTTATGTCGTTCGACGATTCGAAAAATGTTCTCTACTTCATGAAACAATATATTACAAGTAAAGAACGCTTAAATAAATTGACGTAAATTGCTTAGTTCAGAGAACGAGGAAATTTCTATTCTTATCTGGAACATCGTGCAGCTCGGATATCGAGGGGTTGGGAAATGCGAGAGAGATGTTAATGGACTTACTCAATGTCGCATTGTTGACACGCGACTGGTCCGTCTGCGATCTGAGTAATCGCAGTCGATTCAGCTTGCTCTGTTGCTGGTCCAGCTTGTGCCTCAATCTGGCGAGTCTGTCCTGCTGTGCTGGCTCCTGGAACAGTAAACAGTGCGTGAACGCATTCACTATAGACAATGCAAATACAGTTAATATACAGTGAATGGCGGTGGATTAGGACGGGAAGGAAATAAAACCTCAGTAACACGATCGCGAACATATTCGTATTTGCAATTTTATTCATTATAAAAGCCTGAATTCTCTAACAGCGTATCGATCGATTTTCTGCAGCCTAATTCTTACATTCGCGACGATACTTCAGGGGATGAATCTGCAGGTCAAAACAAGCAAAAAAAAAACGCTTTCTCATAGTTCCTTATTCGCGAGTTTAATTCGCCATTATCAACTTTGATGGAATCGCGAAACGAGATTACGCGATCCCGGGGAATGGGTTCGCCGGGGACCCATTCCCTCCTCGAGATCGCTCCTCGAGATCAAGGCTGCTCAGTCGTGAAGGTCATTGTAACGGTAACTCCACAAGCATACTATCGATCTCTCCCTCGCTGTGATCGTCGAGGGAGAGGAGAACATAAGAACAAGCGCTCGAATTGTCGCGGGGGTTGACGCATTAAACGCGTGGGAATTCTAGAACGAGTTACCGAACTTCGCAACTCGTGTTATTCTTCGATTCGGAGTTGATATTCTTTCAATGGCAACTCTCATCGATTGTATGATGAAAATCATGAAATATGGCGTTCCAAGTGGTACTTTATCGTAGTTGGTGAAAATGATAAGAGAGACTGAGACTCACCTGTGCGCCTCGAAGCACGGCTAAGCGGGCCTCTTTCTGCTCCAGGAGGCGCCTTTGCTGAGCGATTTCCCGCTGTTGCCTGGCCGCCATGCTTTCAAGCTCGCTGAGCACCAGCACAGCACCACCCCCGCCCACTGCTAACTGAAACAGCGAGATTAAATGCACGTAAGCATACGAATGTGTGTGCTAAAGTAAAACGACGGCGACGAGAAACGCGCGAGCAAGTACGAACGGGCGGGCGCGACAGGAGGCGCCGAATCGCCGATTAATTACATCTCGAATATCGGCTTTCGATCAACGGTCTTTGTTGTTTCTTGGCCTTCCGCGAATGGCTTCCGTAGAACGCATACAGGTAAAAGAATTACGTCTCGTTGTTTACTCAGATGTGTCCGGGAATATTTTAAAAAAATGTTTATCTTGAGCTTGAAATTCAAGACTGTCTTTTTTCTTGTATCAATATTCTACTATTCATCAACAGAATAAAGATTTAAAAAAAATATATAAATTCATATATTAAAATGTCCTCTTTTTAGTAGAATATTTAGAATAAAAAAACTTGAGCTTTTTATCTTGAAAGTTTTTAGAGATCCTTTGTAAGAATAAATCTTACACCTACACATTTCCACAAGAAAGAGAGAGAAATTCGAAGAACTTAAACCGGAAAATCCAAGGATCAAGGGAGAATGGCGAGAATACTATCTATCCTTTACCGAAATTCTGACTTAATTACTGCGAGTAATTAATTACTACAAGCGTCAAAGCAAACGTAAGATAATATCTTCGTTTACTACATGCGACGGATAGAAACTATTAAGTCTCACTCGTACCATCAAAACTAAGAATCTTTCCGACAAACGAGTCAGTTTGTCCACGTTGATTAAGGATCATTCATTTACGCGCTCTCTAAATCCTCTCTGCAACATTGGGGAATGGATGTGATACGGGCGCGCGAATTCTCACTGCGTTTCGAGAGAACGCTGGACTCGATCGAGCGGTGTGCGCCTCTTTTTGTTTTATCTTCCGTATATCACCATCTGGAGAAAGCCGGCCGCGGCGCGGCGCGGTGGCGCGCCTGATACCAGGTAGAATCCCAAGGTCGGCGTGCGGCCCTTCGAATTCCACCGTGACAAGGACTCCGTGTAACCTTCGTACGTCAATGAAAGTGCGCCCGACGACGGCCGGCAGGACGGGTGCAAAATGAACGCGCACCGAGCGAGCAAGCGCGATGAAAATATCGGTTTCCCGACTGGCTGTCCCCGCGGAGGCGAACCGATCGCAAAGGGTCGGGGCTTTGCTCTCGTTTCTTGATTTCGTTCCACTTCGCGATCGAGATAAAATGCATTCTTGCGGAAATACGCTTGCGCTTGTACATTTACCCTTTTATTGCGTGTTTCTTATTGCGTTTTTACATCCGCCGAGTCGCAGAAGTATAAAAGCAAAACTCACTTCCCGCTCTTTCCGATATTCGTGACCACGGTGGGAAAAGTTTCTGTTACGTGCAGATTATTGTTCAATAAATTATCCGATGTATCTCGTTTTTCGCGCTCAGAAATCAAATTAGTAACACTTCACATTTCTGTTCGCAAAAACGTACATTTGAATAAAATACATTCGAATACATAAAGTGTACATTTGAATAAAATACAGAATAAGATAGTACTATTAACGTCAAAAGAGAAAGAAATGATAAAAGACCGCGAGAGTTCCGCTTTCTCGCCTTTCAAGACAATCCGCAGCTATCAAAGTTACCCCGTGGATTCAAAGTTCTGAAGCCTCGTGTATAATTCAAGCAATGGATAACGAAGATCAGACAGTCTGTCGGAAGTTGGGCAGAGTATAGCCCCCGTTGTATCGATAGCTCTGGACAGTGTGGACAATATGTTATTGTTAAAGTTAATCTTCGTCGTGACACAATTCTCCGCGCCCGACCACGTCTCCCGGCGCGAATCAAGCGGTCTCGAAGCGGCAGTTACAGCGAAAGTATCGCGTCGCTCGGGACAATAACGACGCGCCGTTGAACGTTGAACGGGGAAGATAATATAATACGGTACGGACGCCTTTTCTCTCTCTTCCCCTCCCTCCTTCTCACGTTCTCTCGGCGCGGTCCCCGGTCCCCGTCGTTCCAGCTTCTGCCTCTTTTCATTCCGCGCGCGCTCACTCGTGTGACAGTTAATTGTTTCGAGCAGGCTGCGCGAGCGCGGTCGAGAATGGCAAACGAAACGACGAACGGCGCTGCGTTGGACGTATCGCGCGATCGCCAAGAGAAATGAAAAGGGAGCCATTTCCCGACAGCTCCTCCGCCGGCAGAACGAACGACTCGCCTCCGATCCCATTCAATTTCATTATCCCGCCATTTCGTTATGATACATACGGGCAGTCAACGAGATACATACATTATGCTTCATTAACCCGTAAAAATGAATTCTCAGTTTTCTGGGTTACACCCGTCGACGTTTCACGCTTTACGCGTGTTCCAGTAGTTTCTTGCTTTTAACAAATGTGCTTGATTAATTGCGCGCTTTAGCACGGATTCAGGTTCAAGTTTCCTTATTTGCTTATCGTTAAAAGTTTGATTTAAAAAGTAATTATAATTATCAAGAGTAAAAATCTCAGAAAATGCTACTTTTCTCGAGAAGATATCTATTTAATTTATACGAGGTACATTCTTCACATTCCCTTTATCCAATTTATCTTCGGGAATACTTTCGAAAAAAGATAATTGCGTGCACCACGAGAGTACGGTATATATAGTTGCAATCCTTTCACGCCGAGTCCTCAATTGATCTGCCCAGCTGCTCAGAAAGAAATATAAGAGGGAAAAAGGTAATCTCTCCGGCCGATAACCAACAGAATTCGTTTCCGTGCGTGAATGGGCAGGAAAGTTACGAAAAAGACGCTTCCTCGAGGGAACACGTATAAACGAAAAAGAAATTTCTCATAGAGGCGGATTCTCGTAGGAGCGGATAATCCCCGGGGGATGATCCACCCCGGACTATCCCCCTGCAAAATTAATTTCGAGGAGCCTGAAAACAGGTAGCGCGGAAGAAGCCGTAATCGGCAGTTTGTTCGGCGAGACGCCGTTCAAGCTGGGGTCTCTCTTCTTTTTCGGGCGCATCCATTCGCGAAATTAATGAAAGCGAGATTCGTCATTGCCACGATAAAGATAAAAAGCGGAAGAGCAGAATTATTATAATTTACTCGTATTTTCCCTTCCTGACTCAAAGCTTCTTCAATTACGACTGCTAATTTTTATATAATTTCCGCTTGCAGTCCCTTTGTGTATTTCGAGCTAAGAAGAAAATATTTCACGACGCTCTTGCGATATTTCTATATAGCTCTTAAATAATGTAAAAATTGACATTTTGCAACTTATCTTATAATCTATTTGAGAGAGAAAAGAGATAAAATTAATGGAACTATACATAGTAATAAAATGAAACTAACGAGGAGCCTGCTTTCTCCTATATACTAATATATAGCTGCATCTTTTTCTACTTCCTGATTAAAAGGAAATAAGCATACGCTTTACAAAGGAAAGTAAGAAAACGTAGTAGAAAGTACAATAGCCAGACTTGAGCGGAGAAAGAGCAAGCTTGTGCAATTATGGAGATTACACGCGCTTAAGCGAGGATACATGGTACACTGATAAAAATGTAAATACGGGGGATTCAGCGGGACAATTTTCCGCAATATTTAGCCGATCATCCCTGTAAAGCTAGAATATTTCAGGCATGCGTGAGTTTTAATTAAGACTGAAATAACATAGAACTTTTAAACGATGAAGGTTTAACGACGCGCGAAATTGATGAATATGTTTTAAATAATGTTATAACACGTAAATAGGTTTTTCTGTCAAAACTTCATCACAGGGTCCATTTTTAATTGAACTGTAACAGAGCGTTAAAAATTCCCGAGGAATATCCAACGAAATTGGAAAATCCGGTGTTTCGGGCGCTGTGTTTGTAATTACGTCTCTAATACGTTTCAATAATACACAGTCAGAATAGTCGAACACCTTGTTTCTCAACCTCTAAGTATTTATTCATACGAGTACACGTACAAGTCTCTCCGCGTCCGCGTCGGCAGAGCGAAAAGCGAGACGGCGAAGTCGGGAGTGCACCGAGTAGAACCTTACCTCGCTGCTTACTGCACGCTCGCCGTTGTTGCATTCCGTCTCTGCGGCGGCCGAAGGAAGTTTTTCCTTCACCGGGACGGATTTAGACTTCCTCTTGGATTTCCCTTGATGGAGCTTTACCGCCACGGTTTTCACCTCGAAGTTTTCTCGCGGATAGACGCACGCCAGCATCCTCGCAGTGGCATGGACCAGCCAGCAAAACCGCACGCCCGACCAAGTTTCGCTTCTAAGCGATTTACGTTAATGCAAAAACCAACGTTGTCGGAAACGTTCTCGTTTACTCTCCTTCGTACACTCTCACAGATGCGGCACGGTGACAACGGCGGCTTTAAAAAAGAAACAGCATCGCGTCGCGTTGACAAAATCGCAAGGTCGCGGTATTGTTTTGCTAGGGCAGTGTTCGCTAAAAAATATTTGTCATAGAATAAATTTAGAGATTACAAACCTCTAAATTTGAGGGATATTTTTTAGTTTTCAAAACAATTTTTTAAGCAGAGGTAAAAAAGGCAAGCCTCTTCCATTTAAAATTACAGGGATGCTATTTGTAAGGAAATATAAATTAAAATTTTTTTCAATCAATTTTTCTCATCCAGAGCTTGTCCTAATTGAAAAATAGTATTCGCATTAAAATGTTAAATAAAAAATTTAGCAACATAGGACGAATTTTATCCTGTTATTGGCTTCGTTATTTTTCGCCATTCCTGAAAATTTGTCGTTTATTTAACCTCGTTAATTTAATCTATAATTAAAGGTATGCTCTTCGTAATTGGTGAGTGATGCGTCAGCGATAACGCAATATTTACTCAAAGCAAATGAATATTATCTGCTATTCTATCCCGTGTACTCGATATTGCAAAATTTATCATAATACAATCAATTCGTTAATTCAAAAAGTAAAATAATTTAAACGATGATATTTTGTGCTACATTATAATGTCTTTATACGATAATTCTTTTTTAAAAACCCTCGTCAGATTACATTTCACTCATATTTTAATAATCGAGAAATTAATATCTTGACGCAATAATATATTTTATATCTAGTTCTTCTCTTAAAATAGTGAACAATTATTAGTAAATATTTTGTAAGTTTCGTTAAATTTTTTAAAATTGACGTTTTCTTTGTCAAAATGTTAATATGATGCCCTTCCCTTATCTCGTAGAACAATTGTAGATCCGCAGAATAATTTGTGGAAACCCCTTGAGATTTAAAGGCCCTAAGCGACCGCCTATCGATAAATCCACCATTGAACGGTGCGAGTGTAGTACGTTGCTTTCCATTTATAAGCCACTTGACACGAATCGACACGTAGCGCTTTAAAGATTCAGGACGGCAGCGTATCGAATCGCCCGTAATGCACGTAACGCGCAGAACCATACGGATAGAGATAGATAAAAGCACAGATACCCGCGTCACTTTTCAACCTTCATATTACGACTTTATGTGTCTCCACATTACAGCTTTATATGGGGAATAAACCATACGACAACTTAGCAAAACAGCACTAAAGAAATGTATATTTGGTTCTTGTTTCTCGATCTTTATAATTGTACTAATTTTATAATTGTACTAAATTGACACTGTAACAAAATGTTGAGAGTAATAAGCTTTAACCAAATAATATTTTAATATTATCATTGACAAAGATCTGGTTTTTTTTTCTCAACGAAACTATCGCGATAGGATAGCAAGTTTCGGAACTTTTACTAATTTTCAAGTTTTAATGTGCCCATATACCTTGAAAACTAAATTAAAATCTTGTTAAAGCAAAGAGTCACTTGAAGTTCAGTAAAGAACGCAACTAGACAATTTGTAATTAAAAAATAAATTGGTAATTTCATCGCTTATAACTAAAAAAAACTATTCGTATCTCATTTTCGTTAAAGATTAACTTCAAACTAGCCAAGAAGATACCTGTCACTCAATTGTGATCCGATAGAAAAGTGAGGCACGTACCTTTTCTACAGATGAAACGTAGCTCAAAGGAACTTGCATCAGTTATTTTGGTCGGTCATCATCTTTATTATGGACCTTTATTACAGTCTGAGAGCTTTCTTTCTCTTTCGATATTCATTCTCCTCAATATTGAACGTCAAGTAATCTACAACTTTCTCGTTTTCTTTGTAAAAGAGGTGAGCTGACGCCGCACGAAATCGATATAAGGCTGGATTTATGGACTTTTCCGCAAAAGATGCGGAATGAAAAATGAGTCGCGTTGGAAGCGTTCAGCTGTGCTGAAAATTCGAAATCTTTTCGATATTACGATTCGGCATTTCGTCAAATTCGGCTGACTGAAGAAAGAGGGAGATGCTTTTGTCTGAGGCCATGCCTCGCCCCGTGACCCGATAATTCTCTCGCTCCTCGTTTGTAAAGTGGGAATATAAGGCGAGAATATAGGCTCTATCTTCGAAGCCCAAGAACGAAGTTACGTCGACATCATTTCGCTGAGAGTCGCGGGCAAAATTACGGGACAAACGTTGTTAAAATTTCATCAAAATTCCTGTTAAAGTTTAACTTTTTAATTGTAATTTTTTCAAGATCGTGGAGTAAATCGAAAGAGATCCAACATTCAAAATTGACTGGAATACAATGAAAAGCATATATTATAAATGCACAATTTGTTTTCATGACTCACGATAAATATATTTCACTAATATTTAAGAAAACACTATATTATTGCAACACAAATATATATTGTATATTTCAAATAGCATAATAGTCAAAATTTTTCATCGAATAATTTTTAAGAATTTTTAGCAATATTTAGAGCAAAGATATCAAAATATGGTTCGGGAAGTTAATAATATCAACGCATCAATGGAGGTTGTGATACTAATCGAGTTTTCACCCGGTTAAGAATCGCGAATCCATTCTATTTTCACTCAATCTCAGCTAAAAATAATATACTGGGTAAAACAGAGAGAATCATACGCTCCTAATTATTAGCTCAAGCTTTGCAGATGCTTCGATATTTCGCAGCATATTTTCGTATCGAAAGCACAATCACGTGCCAATATGCGAATTTTAATTTCAGAGTATTGACGTGGTAATAAAAATATAATATCAAAAAATAAGGCTAAAAAAAGTATTTTAAAAGATATTCAAGTATGCATTCTCTCGAAACGCTTGATACATTTCCCAGCATTTAGAAAGAGATATATCTCGTGGAGCGGAAATATAATTCGTCCATAAAGATTCTACGGATTATATTTTATGTACGTATGTACATGTATTTTATTACGTATATCCGGAGTATCTTCTTTTCTCATGTAAAATATTTATACAAAATCGAGTTTATGTGTGTCGTGTTCTTTTTTTCTTTTCCTTTTTTTTTTCTTCTCGCGCTCTTCCTCCCGACGGAAGAAATTTATTCGGGCGACCGAATATTCTCCTCGGATATAAACGGAGCACCGTACATAACCGTGCGCCTCGCAAGATGGTTAAACGAGTTGTCGCGTTTACGGCACGGCACAGTGCGGCGCGGCGCGGCGCGACAACTCGTATACAGAGCGAGCAGAAGTGCATATCAATTTATGGAAATGAGAGAACACGCCTTGCCGCGTGGCCACGTCTCTCTCTCCCTGTCTCTCTCTCGTATAGCCCGACGACGGTTTTGCGCGACAGCGCGCGTTGATGGCTATCCAATTTGGCATGCAAAGCCCGGATAGCGAGGCGCAGCAAATTAGATTTCGGCGTAATTCGCGAAAACGCCGGCCAAGTCGGTTTTCCCGGGGCGTGACGAGAGACCGTCCGAAAATTTAGACGCGCGTAAGGGTCCCAACCGAGCCGGCCTGAATCGACTTAATGAGAGAAAAGGGAGCGAGAGCAAATTGCACGGGACATCTCTCAGAGAGCCACTGAGCTAGTTTTCATCCGTGGATTCTTCGACCCACTTAGGATCGACCCAACCCTTGATGAAAGTTTGATAAAACAACATCTTTTCTCTCCGCCACGATATTTTTCTTCTATACATATATACGTGAAAACGCGTGAATAATTTCGTCACGGAATTCTAGCGAATTCAACAGGTTTTTATCGGGCCCGATTATTATGCGGTACGGATGCGGCTTACAGTGTCACATTCCGTCAATTTTCATACTACGGTATGAAACACACATACGCGCGCGTACGGCGAAGCAGATGGGATTAAAGTTAAAAACACCCTAGGAAAAAAGCGCAACTTATAGTACGTAATACGTAATACCGCGGGCGCACGAAGCCAGTGAATAAACGAGACGAGCAGAACGAGAGATCTTACGTGAGAATTTCCTTTATTTCGAATTTTTTATTCTTTTCACTGTTCAGCTTTGTGCATTCGATCAAAGTGAGATAGAAAAAATAGTTTCTCGCCCTGCGCGAAGTGTGAAAAGCGCGGTAGTTAAATCTTTTTAATAAAGCGCACTCTCTTCGGGAATTATACGAGGATCATTGATATGAATAACGTTTCACACGCAACGTCTTAATTCTCGATTTAACGTTCCGCCGGTGAAAACTTTTGGCGTAAATTAGTAAAATGTTAGCCAGCAAAGGTGTTAGTAGAGCACGAGTTGACGAGCGAGGCGATAAACGGGTTTTTAATTGAAAATGCAATTCGCGGTATTTGCGCCCCGTCGTCGTCGCAATGTGTATACCCTGTCGACTCGGAATGAATTAGACCGCCGCGGACGAAGTGGGTCTTTCGAGCGTCTTGGCTGTCGACCGTGGAATTTACGATTCGTCTGTTGCACGTGGAAGCCAAGGAAGCCAGGAGAGAACGAACGGTAATTTTGCGGCAGCGGGATGCGCTTCCAAGGACGTACCCCGTGGCGACCGAGCAAGACTAAACAGGAAAATCAGATTCAACGACCGTTTCTCGTGCGCCATTATCATCACCCCGATGCGATGCGATTCTTTTCGTGAAAACGTAAGGAATATTCTGCATTCAAATCATAAGATGCAAAAATTTCGCGAAAGAACGAATCTTAAGAGACCCGTGCATTTTATTGAAAGTTATAACTAAATTCCATCTTTTTTGTAACACTCCGTAGATATTTTTCTCTGAAAATATTTCCAACGAATATTCTAAACATTTCCTCTAAATTGTCACGTTAAAAAAAAATAAAATAATAAAAAGTTGGGTTAAAAATCTACGGTATACGCGACACGATTTTCGAAATTTTTTCTCTGCTCTTGAAATTCCCGTAACACAGCTGCAACGAATAATATTACTAAAAGCGTTAAAGTTTTTTCTATTGCATATCCGTGAGATATAAGAATTTTTCTATCTAGCTTATATTGCATTTTGCTCTTATATGATACCATCTTATTCTTGTAAATAATAATATTCCGAATATTCGTCAATATTTTGTATTTTCTCATTTACATCATTAATATTATATCATTTTAATACTATCACGTTAATTGTATATTTTCACGTTATATATGCATATACTGTGTTTCTCAAAATAATTTCCAAATTATGCGCGAGAATGTAAAACGGAAAAAATTCGAAGAGCTCTTCTAAAATTCTAAACACGCCTTTCTGTGTCACATATAATCTTCTCTTCTAGCGTACAAAATATGCATAATAAAATGAAGTTTTCACGTACAAAGAACAGTCAATTTTGTATCTTGTAAAATCGTCGAGCGCGATTTCTCCGCAGAGGCGGTGTAATCCGCAGGGAGACTAACTTGTCTCGTCTCTATTTCCTGGCTCATCAAAGTTGTACGTATCACGATTCAAGGTGCAGTCCTCGGACGGACGAATTCCGGAAATATAATCTCCGAGTGCGGCTGTGCGTTTCAGTTTCGTTTCCGCGAACGTCAGTTTGACTTCCAATTCCGGCGGAGTGCGCGAACGCGGATACAATTTAGAAGCTTAATTCAATGACGGAGTTTCGGAAGCTCCGAAAATTTCCCAGTCCTCCAGTCATTCGAGTTTCCTTCCTTTCCGCAGGCAAATTTTAATGCACCGACTACTAATGAGTTACTCGAGTTTAATTCGTCGTTGCACATATGTCAGATTATAACGTTTATAAAACGGAAAACTCATGCATTTTCTTTTCCAACATATAAGAAGAAGAAGAAGAAGAAGAAGAAAAATAATATATATAAGAAGAAAAATGTATAAAAAGAAATAAATTAGTTCTCGTATAATAAGTTCAAGTAAAATAAGCTAAGATATAAGCAAAATATGCTAAAAATTCAACTCTCCCATCTTATATTCAATATAGATATTCGATATTTTAAAAGTTTCTCTTTTAATACGCAAGCTTAATTTTCAATAAATACGTTTATGTAACCACTGTACTTCAACTCTTTTAATTAACAGAACAAATTTAATTCTATCTAAAAAATATCGTTCAAAGGAACGATCCCTTAATTGCTTCAAGCATCAACGCGGTCGATCCACAATAGGTACTCATGCATATAATGATAAGTACCATTACACGACGTAGCGGGTAAGCGAAGATACGCTTTGCGAGAATCGTAACTCTATCGAACTTGGTGAAGTTATTTCGATGATACAATTCCAAGTTCTGCATCAAGCTCGCGAGAGCTGTCTACCGCACGGTAACGTGATTTGAAGTAGTGTAATCCCGGGACTGAGCACCTACGTGCGGAAACGAATGTGACAGTAATTTAAGTCTACACGTAGATTATACATGCTAAAGTGGGATTCGATGCATAATTCATACAAACAACGCTTTTGAAACGTTTGCCGTAACGGTGGCCCAGCTTGTTAAAACTTCAAGAAATTAATCTTGGAATTGAGCAAATTAACCCGTTGTGGTCACATGGGGTCCAGTGGACCCCAGGCTTTTTTTTTTTTTTTTTTCAAAAGTATACTATTTTGAAAGTAAAACGCACAAAGTTTTTTTACTCTATCTCAAAAAATTTTGATGAATATTTTTGTAAAAAAAGTCAAATTTCTCGAAAAAAATTTTTTTTTCTCGCGTTTTTTCAACATAAAAAAATTTTTTAAATTATTGGATTATCAAGAGGAAGTCATAAATTAATTCCAGTTCAAGGTTTGAGTCGATACATCAAAAAGAACGCAAATGGAAACTGTTGTGGGGTCCATTGGACCCCGTGTGACCACTACGTTATTTTTAAGAGGTGTGACCACAACGGGTTAAGTCTACAGTAAAATAAAAAATTATTGTTCAAAAGAACTATTATTAAAAGTTATCATAAATGATTGATGAAAGATTGATGAATGATAAAAACAGATTTATCAATATTACATTTAATATTTTATCAACATAGATCAAAAGTTGCATTCCAAAATTCTTGAAAATTATACGTACGTTTAATTTTCTCAAGTTTGTATAGGATCCAATGTTACATTAATATTTTTAATTGCGAGTACTTCTACTTGTTTCTTTTTAATTTTAAAATTTTTATTGCGAGAAATTAAATATAATTTGAAAAATAATGTTGCATCTCGAGATACAAACGACGATAATGATTCTTTCGCAGCTTTTTCGAGGCAATTTCTCCAAAAATAACAAAGTTACCCCTTGACTAGTTGCGAAAATACAAGTACTAGTAGTTTCAAAGCTTTTCAAGTTCGTATTACGAAGAGCAAAGGGGTCAAATGACGTTAAGAAAATTGAATTATCTCATAATCGAGCGCTGGATGCTATATTAAATACAGTATTATAAATATATTTTTTTTTACTTTTCAAGATAGAAACAAAGTTAAAATGAGTTGAACGAATACAAGCAAATAAAATCAAAAGTTTTCTTAGATTTTTCTTTCTCAGATTTTAGGTTCTTAATTTCTGGATACTAGAAATACAATCTTACAGTTATTATCATTGAAAGTGAACAGCATCCCAGTATCTAACGAGACCTCAGCGGGAAGTAAATTACAACGAGCTTTGCCTATTTTATCTCTACTGCAATTTCCCCGTTGCAATTGATAAGAGTGCATCGTTACTCACTTAGTAATGCGCTCATTCGAAGTCTGCGCGGAGTCGATGAACAGAGAGAGAACTTGAAATTCTAAAATTTAATTTACTCCTAAAAGTGACGCGACCTAAAGTCGCGCGAAAACGACTCGCAATTCGTTCGCCGGAGGATCCAGTCGATGCCCGCGGACTGATTGATCACAGCGCGGAATAACGTTCCATTGATATGAAGATTTTTATCGACAGCACGGCCGCGACGCGTGAAAGCGCGAGCGGTGGAGCGTCTCGAAAATCGCAGCGATCCAACGAACGCGCGAACCCGCGACACCCTCTCGGCGCACCGGCCTATTATTGACCGCGAGACAAAAAATGTGAGAGATTCCCTCACCGAGCCGTCAGAATCAAGATGAAATTTAATCAGTCTGTCGAGAAGGAAAAAAAAAGCGAAAAACGTCGAATAATGGAGACGCGCGAAAGTCGCGCGATCGGATTTAGCCCGCCGCCCTGGCGTTCTCGCCTTTGCGGGGCATCGCGCGCTCGACGCCGAGCGCAAAATCGGTGTCAACGCGAACTGTCAACTTTATGCAACGTAGAGAGAAGCGGTAGAGAGAGAGGAGACACGCGGCGCGAACACACGGTGCGACGCTCGTCGACGAACTGCGTGGCCGAGGTGGCCGCGCCGCGCCGCGTTGCGCCGCGTATCGCGCAGCGCGGCCGCACCACCCCTTGCTGTCTCGCGGCCGGCCTCCTCAAACCCCCGCTATTGCTGCAGTACGCACAGTGCGGACGGACGACACATTTTAACAAAATTGCTTCTTCTTTTTATCATTCATTTCGATTTTTACATGGGGTAACGAGAAAAGGAGGCACGAGTAAATAATCGAGTTTTAAGCGTCCTCGGGTATCAATTCTTCCTTTTTAGAGACAGATATCACTCTGTCGCTCACTTATTCCTTGTTACCATTTTTATCGTAATCGTAGTTGTCATTACGGTTATCATTATCATCCTCATAATTATTGCCGCTGCGATAATATTTATTATCGTCTTCTTCATTATCCGGCTTTTTCCATTTGCTTCTTCACTTTTCTTAAATATCTCAAGTTCCTCAAGTAGATCCCGTATTATACCTCTTGAGACAGATAACTACTTTTTTCTCTTGTGAGAAAAGATTCAGGTACTTGATATTGCCAAGTTCGAATTTATAAGGGGGTGAAAAAAAAAGTTTTAAACGACTCGCGTATTATCTTTTTTCTTCACGGAATTCCGGATTATACGGGAAAATTATGTGAGATTGTGGATCCAGATATTCATCGTTTAAAATGGAAAATGTGAAAAACATTTCCGCTATCATGATTTCCATAAATTCAATGAAAATAGTTTCATATGCTTCATTTCGCTGTTCCTAAAGAGGAAGCTACAACAGTTGCTGTAGGTCGGTATGTAAACTAAACAATATCACATGAATTATTTGGTTTATATCATTTTCATTGTAAATATCGTTCGCATACCTCTCTCCTTCTCAGATATAAAATCACATTAAAATAAAGTTGTATCAATTAAATTAACACGTTCTACAGGTCCGTAAAAATGCGAGTTTTTCCTCGCACAGTTTTAACGGATAAAAGTTATAAAACGCGTTTGTGCAGAAGGCGAGTTCGCGACAAAAAAGGTGACAACGAGATAATTCAAACAAGAAATATATAATTAAGCGAAAGAGTAAGCTGCTTTAAAATGATATAATCTGAGCGAATACATCGGAGAATTTCCTCACAAGGGGAGAACGCCGCGGGCAGGTGTTCCTCGTTTTCGTGCGCACCGTTAATTGCATACCTTTGTTGTTCTCTAATCGCGCATACGACACGGATGTTTTTACTCCTGTGAAAGATGGTAGCGTAATATGCATATGCGCACGAGGCATACACGCGTTTTGCCCAAACAAGTGATGCGGATTAATTATCCAGAACGACGCGATTTAGTTCTCTCTCGAAGCGGTATTCAGCTATAGTTGCACAATGTCAACTTTTCATTGTATTCGCTTATTATACATCAATAATTAATATTATATTTATCATGCATATATTAATTAATATTACATGGGATGATTAATAATTATTAATATTATCTCGAAAGCAATTCATATTGCGCAACATGGTAATGTTCAACTAATATTCATGCATCGCTTTAAATATCAAATTTTTATTTCTGTCGCTGCTGTCTGAAGGAATTTCAGAACAAAATATTAAAATGTAGAACAATATGTTTAATTAAAAAAGTGAAATAGTCTGTAATAATAATTATAATATATTCAAGGGATGAGAATGCAAAATTCATATTTATCACTTCTCACAATTTGTGATAAAAAGGTTTCTGTCTTTTTTGTTTAATTTGAATGGTGAATTGAGATTACGAAAAATGTCAATATTGCTTTACGCTTTTGAATTAAGAACAATGCACGCGATAAGACGCGGAACAACAGTACGGCTAGCGAGATAAGCCGGTTATTTCGTGGCAAAATTTTAAACCGGTGCAATTCAGACATTGATCCGAAAAGAAGGTCGCGCGGTTAAAAGCACGCTCGCATTTGCCGGGAGCCCGTTAATTATGCGCTTTTACTTTCCCGCGGCAATTGGAGAGCTGCCGCGGCGAGTCTCGCGGATGACGGAAAGTTCAGACGGAGAGTCGGGATGGTAGTGCGGGGACAGAGACCAAGAACTTCCGAGTTCTCTCCAATTACCGTTGGTTCCGATCGGGCACGAACTTAGTAAACGCCGGAGTCCAAGTGTGAAAAATCGATGATTACGAAATGGTTACGGAACGTATTAAATCTGAATTACTAAACGCACGATAAGTTCACAAATTTCTTCTAATTGTCGTGCCATAAATCAAAGAACAACGCAGAATTTATTTACGCAAAATAAGTAACAACCTGATGTTACGAACAGCGCGGCGGAAAAATATAAAGATAAAAGTAAATGAAATATTTAAACAGAGATGGGGTTCTTATAAGATAATGAATTTTTAATGAGTACAATAAGGATGATTTTTATATGTAGGACAGTCCTTCTTATGAATGAATATTTTTCTAATAAGATCTTTCCATCATCAAATACTCGAAATTCGCCTTTCGCGCTTCTATCGAAAAATGTACCATTCGACTCCGATGCAATCATTCTATCTTCTTTCGACGATATTCTGATGCTACTTTAAATCTATGAAAAATAAATATATCGTGAAATCAATCACACACATACACAGTAATTCCTCTATTCACGGATTAATATTTTAATGCACTGCTCCTTTTCACGCTGTGGCTTAAGGAATATTTAACACGTAATCTAAATTCGCAAACTTACTTATATATACACGGAGAGAATTTTCTCTTAAAACTTACCCTGAAATCAAGATAGTTGTGGGACAACATGTACCACCAAAAATTTTATGCGAGCTATTCTGATTAATATCTACCATAATAAGGGCCGGTTGTTCCAATTTGTTAGTAAACTAAGTAACAGGTTAAATCATGTATGTCTTTGTTTATCTTTTACATTAAACAAAGATAGACATGTGATTTAACTATTAGTTAGCTTACCAACAGGTTGGAACAACCGGCCCTAAAAAAGATATTAATATCTATTACATTAAAATATAAAATATGTTTGATTAATTTTACTAAAATATATCTAGGAAATTTCAATAATTTTTCAAAATTTACCAATCTACTTGGTAATTTTTATCACGTTGTTTGTAAAATGTCTTTTGTATATTTTAAAAATTCCTTGGTTGCCAAGTTGTCCCAAGTTTGTAGTGAATTTAAGGGTATATAACAAAAAATTCTCTCCGTGTAGTTATAAAAATATGATTCTGACGAACAATTTTTAGATTTTTTTTAAATATGCAAGATACTTTTATTCTATTAATTTAGACCTCTGTTCAGAACTTTAAATAGAAAAAAGAAATAATATAATATAACGGGTAATCATGTGATATATCGTCTATGATATATAATTAAATAGAAAATAAAATATGAAAGAATAGTAGCTAGTACCTTCTTGTTCACGCCGGGAAAAGTGCCGTAATATATATCGCTTATTTAAAATTAACACCTCCATTATCCTGTAACAATACTATGAATATCCCACTGTTGTTCTCCGTGGTTCACTTACGAGTTTTCGTGCCTCGTACGACCAAGGTGCGGTCGATAAATCACAATTACGAGTTAAGCATCGGGCGCATATTAGAGCCAACATTTTCCTGAGAGAAAATCACAATTACGTATATAAAGAGTGAACCCTGTCTCATCAACGTCGGGATGATTTACCGATCCAGTATATCCTTTTTCCGGCAGGGCAAGCCCCGCCGCGCGGAAAGATACCCTCGTGCGGCGCGCGAGAGGATGTATGATCCCGTTTGAAATTTATAATCCGACATTCGCACGCGGCGCGCCTCTCTCCCCGTGGTAACGAGTGCGCTTTTTGCACCTACGTGAAACCGCTACGCGAGAACGTAAAATCGAAATATCGTTGCGCCGGATTACGTTCCGCCTGCGGTTCCCGTATTTCAACCGCGGACCCGTTCGTTCTATCGGAAAACTCAGCTCCTGCCGCCGATTACGAAGCCCGAAAATTGAAAATGTGCTACTTGAAACGAGAGACTTATGCATATATGGAAAAAATTAATTCACCGCCATGATTAAAGTTTCAGCTTATATCCTCTACCCTGCAGGCGAATGTTTTATTTATGAGAGTATTAAGGTGTTAAAGTACGAGAGTGGGGATCCAACGTGCATAGTTTAATGCTTAAACCGGACTTTATGATTTTGTCTCAAATTGAGCTATAAGCTGTTAGAAAAAAATGACGGTAGAAGATTATTGCGTTGCTTGTGGAAAATATTTTATGACTCGCAGATACTGTCTTAATAAATAATGTCATTTAAGAGAAACAAACATAATAAAGTATATCTAATTATCTTATTATGATGCAATTTTATAAAAAAAATTAAGATATATTTTTGTTTTTCAAATATTATAATAAGGAAAAGAGATGATAAAACATTGGCCAGTCTTTCACGTATATATGCGTGTATGTACGCAATAATAATTCACGAGATGTTTTACCGTCGTTGACACGATCCGCGAGTTCCATTAAAAAGATTACTATTCCTCTCGGTGTCACATCACGATAAGCGAAGCCATAATAACACGAGATTCTTTGTCGTTCTTACTTAATCGAAATTAATGTGTAACAAGCCAGTCACTCAGTTCAGGATAGCTCGCAGCTAGTAGGAGTGTCGACAACGATCGCTTTTCTGGCCTGGCTGTCTCCGTGATACAAAACAGGACCTATCCAACCATATGGGGTCTGCGCGACTACTCGACTCGGAAGGGAATGGGTGAATGAGTGAGTGAGGGAATTTATCTCGACTTGGGTCAAGCCCCTTCAAGCGACCCAACAAAAATATACACGAATGTAAATGTGGTCATGGCACGAACCCTCAATGGAAAATTGCCGAGCGTCAGCTCGGCCGCGATCGATATAACGTTGATATATATAAATAATTAGCCGTAATTGAAAATTAATTTGCAATCGAAACGACAAAACCGTACCGTAATTAGATCTTAGAACAAACTTGAATGAGAATCAATATT